AGGAATGGGGGTGCTGGGGGAGCGGGACCCCCTGACAGCACCATCCCCAGGCCTGCAGGAGGGGGTGGCCACCATGTCGCAGGCCATCGCGGGGGCCAAGGGCATCGAGCTGGAGGTCTCCGAGTACTACACCTACGTGCACCCCGACCCCAGCACCCTGCCCGAGCCCCGGTGAGTTCCCCGCTAGCCCTGGCGAGCTCCCCGCTAGCCCCGTCCTGGTGCCGGCAGCCCCCGCTGACGGCCACCCCTTGCCGCAGGCTGGCCCCCGGCGTGCAGGTGGGCTCGCTGAGCCCGGCGCACGTGGATCTGCTGAACGAGACGTGGGCGTACGGGGGCAACGCGCGCAGCCGGCGGTACCGGGGGTGGGGGGGCGGTCCCCCAGCCTCTGCCTGCAGGACGGGGCCGGGCAGCCCCTCTGCTGGGCCCTCACCGACCCCTTCGGGACGGGGGCCCACGGCTACACCCTCCCTGCCCACCGCCGGCGCGGCCACATGCGGGCGGTGCTGGCCATCGCGGCTCGTCGGGCGCAGGCCCGTGGCTTTCCCGCCTTTGGGCACACGGCCACGGGCAACCGGCCCATGCAGCGGCTGCAGGAGGAGCTGGGCCACCAGCGACTGCCCGGGCTTTGCCACTTTGTCCTGCACAACCCCGGCCTGGGCAGGGCTGGACCCTGACCCCCCTCGGTCACTCGCCCTGGGGCAGGGAAGTCCCCGCGCTGTGGGGCAAGGAAGAAAACCGAAACTAAACTAAAGCGGAGTGTGGACTCTCTGATGGTTGCTATAGGGTTGTGTCTCCCTCCAGCACCAGTTTTCTTGCACCTGGCTTGGCGCCAGCCGTTACAGCCATCACTCGGCTTGGTGGCTTGGGCGGTGCGGTGTCACCGCTGCGAGACGCAGCTGTGTCCCCGGGGAGTCACCCTGTCCCTCTGTGCCGGGACCACGGCCCTGCCCTGAGCTATTCTCAGCCCCCCCGGGGAGGGGTGAAAAGCCTCAGGCAAATCTGCACCGGTGGCACCTGCTGTGTGTGTGTGTGTGTCCCCCGGAACGGTGTCACTGCAGCTGGCGGGGGGACAGACAGGCACAACGCCTGCGGGTCACCGGCTGTGCTTCCCGGGCAGGGGGGACAGCCAGAGTGCTGTGCGGGGCAGAGGGTGACGGCTGCGCGGCGTGAGTCACGGCTCGAGTCACGGCTTGTGGGGGTGACGGGGACAGCCAGGGGGGTGACAGTGCCCAGGGTGATGGGGACAGCCAGGGAGTGACAGTGCCTGGGGTGATGGGGACAGTTGGGGGGGTGCCAGTGCCCAGGGTGATGGGGACAGACAGGGGATGACACTGCCTGGGGGTGATGGGGACAGTTGGGGGGGTGCCAGTGCCCAGGGTGATGGGGACAGACAGGGGATGACACTGCCTGGGGGTGATGGGGACAGTTGGGGGGGTGCCAGTGCCCAGGGTGATGGGGACAGTTGGGGGGTGACAGTGCCTGGGGGTGATGGGGACCACCGGGATGGGGATGACACTGCCTGGGGGGGATG